ACTGTACGGCCAGTGGCTTAAGTTTCTTGCTAGCTAGCTCTATCATCTTAAATTGAGCCATTTCTATTCATCTATGTTTTGCCACATGGCTGTGGCGTTACCAGTCTGCTGGCATGTTGTTCCTTGGGCGGTAGGCTTGTGTCTCTCCCGCCTCTGCCTTTCTTCTTCCTGTCTCTCTCTTGGATTTCCCACCTAGCTATAACCTGACTTGCCATAGGCCAGAGCAGCTTCTTTATTAATCAGTCATAGCAACACATATTCACAGCATACAGAAAGACCATCCCACAGCACTCCACACTTGTTGAGATTTTGTTTTTAAATCCCCCATATCAACCCCACAGACACAAATGTGTGAATGGCACAATGGATGTGAAAAAAATGCACTCAGTCTCTGAAGCCTCTGCTATATAGCTCTCATTGGCTCAACCACTTTCCTTTCTAACTCTATAAGAAGCAGTAAACCCAGCTCTTTGGATCCGACACTAACTTTTAACTATTCAGAGGAATACTCATGAGCTGGGAAGAAACTGCCATGAATCAATGGCCAACTTGGGCTCGATAACAAAACAACAATAACAAAATTACATTCAGGATAGTAAGAGCAGGCCTAAGAATTTCAAGTCACTGAAAAATTCTTTAATCTCAGAGTGGCATGAGCTGCACAACACTTTAAGTAGATCACTCTGGTTCCTGTATGGGAAATAACTATGTAACAAAAAGGGGGGAGGGGACCCAAGGGGCTCTTACAGAATCACTATAGGAGGTGGCAATGAGATGAAAACCATTTCTTCTAGGTACTAGTAAGCATTTGACCTGAAGTACAATCCAAGGGCAGAAATGAAGGTTTATGTACAGTGAAGATTCTAGTTCAACAGTAGTGAACTAAAGATGTTGAATGATTTTACCAGTAGACCAGGACAAGCAATAAAATGATTTCAAAGGTGGCTAGGTGAGCAGATGAGAGTGAAAAGGGACTTTGCAAACAGCAGTTGCAACAGAAACCCTTAAAGGAGACTGGATATATAAACTAGAAATATCAGGCCTGTAATGATTGAGAATTAGTGTCACACCACTTGTTGTAGTTTCTCAAAGGTACCAGCTTAGTGTCATCCTCACTCTGGCATCAGTCAAATGATATTCTACCCAAACATCACACTGCATACACACACACAAGAAGAGTTAGGTTCTAGGCAAATACAACAATCATAACTTTCCTGTGACTTATAGAGCAGAAGCCCTTAAGTACATTACGCTAATACTTTTTTAACCTAGTTAAATAGAAATTAGTTTCAGATTGTCTTAAACAGTCAAAGTAGACCATCCAAATGTTTGTATTACAAAATAGAAATTCAATAAAATCACTCACTGGCAAATTCTCTAAAAATAAAGCAGAATTGTAAAAATAATGACTTGACAAAAACCTATAAAACAAATGACTTGTTATAATTGTTCAAATATCAAAACTGACAAGCACATATGCTTAGACCATGTGTGTGCCTATGTGTTTTCTAAATTAAGAAAAAGTACCAGAATTGAAACATTAAGGCACTAAGACTGCAGATTGTGGATATGGTTCCTGTACTTCAAAGCTATGGGCAGGATGGGATCAAAATTCAAGGCCAGCATGGGCCACTGTTTCAAAAAGATGAAAAAATAAAAGCATTACTGAGCAGCTGGGGAGAAAGCTCAGAGGGTAGAGGTGCTTGCTGCCAAGACTGCCCTGAGTTTGATTCCCAGGCACCACATGATAGGAGGGAGAAATAACTTCTGACCTCTACACATGCCCCCTACACACAAATATGAAACTGCAATTGTTAAAAAAGGAAAGAAGTAGTATATCATGAATCTTAAAAGTTCTTATTAATAAAATCAAACCCGAGGCCAGTTATTGGGGTCAATGCTGGTAGATCAGAGAGACTAAAGGCCACAGCTAACCTCACCTGGACAACTTCTCAGCTGATCTTGTTTCCTCAGACTGGAAGCCTCTGTGTCCTCATATTCGAATGGTTCTCAGCTGAACTGTGCTGCTCAAAACCTAAAAGCTTAACCAGCCAAATGCTTAACCAGCCAAATGCTTCTAGTTTCTGGTCCTCATGCCTTATATATCTTTCTGCTTTCTACCACCACTCCCTGGGATTAAAGGCTCGATTTCTGGGATTAAAGGCATGATGAGTCACCATGCCTGATAAAATAAGATATGAGATAGATCATTGAATCTACTCTGACAAAAAAGATAAAGAAATAATAGGATAAATAGGTAGATCACTGAATCTACACTGAAGAAAAAGTGGAAGATATAAAAATGACAAAAGGTAGACTACTGAATGTATTATGAAAAGAAAAAAGAGAGAATATGGATATGATAAGATAAAAAGGGAGATTATGGAATCTACTTTTAAAAAGGAACTACTTGTTTTAAATAAGATAAGTAATGAAAATTTTTTGGTCTGAGTTTATCAGATGTTACTGGACTGGACATTGTTAATATATATAAAATGGAGTTTTTATCTGAATCTGTCAAATGTTAATGGACTAGACATCGTTAATGTAATCTTGACTGTGTATATTGTATATACTTACTGGATAATTTTTCTTGTATTAGTTATAAGCTTTTTTAAATTTTAGACAAAAAGAGAAGAAATGTGGTATTGTATTCCCCCAAGTATTGTGCATGTTAATAAACTCATGTGGGGTCAGAGACAGAGCAGCCACAATATTAAACATAAAGGATAGGCAGTGGTAGCACACGCCTTTAATCCTAGCATTCCAGAGGCAGAAATCCATGTGTTCAAGGATACAGACAGGCATGGTGACTCATCACGCCTTTAATCCCAGAAAGCAAGTCTTTAATCCCAGGGAGTGGTGGTAGAAAAGAGAAAGGTGTATAAGGCTTCAGGACCAGAAACTAGAGGCATTTGGCCTGGTTAAGCATTTGGCCTGGTTAAGCATTCAGGCTTTTGAGCAGCAATTCAGCTGAGACCCATTCTGGATGAGGACTCAGAAGCTTCCAGTCTGAGGAAACAGGACCAGCTGAGGATCCGGCGAGGTGAGGTAGCTGTGGCTTATTCTGTCTCTCTGATCTTCCAGTGTTCACCCCAATAACTGGCCCCGGGTTTGATTTTATTAATAAGAACTTTTAAGATTCATGCTACAAAGTAGGGACACTGAGGCAAGGGGATACTCGGTAAAGCTACTACAATAAAACCGTGTCAACAGAAACCAAAACAAAAAAATCAGACTACTTATATTTCAGCCTCACTCTGTTGATGACAAAATATTTACTGTGATTTTTTAACTCAAATGTGAAGATTTAATGAATATAATTCTCTGTGTTGTTTTAAAGCATGATTTTTTAAAGAAAGAAAAATATTTCTGTTTTCACTAGACCAAAAATACTTATTAGTCAATCAAATTATTGAAATATAATTATTAGTATATTAAATTCTGTACCAAATTTTCAACAACTTTTGTTAAAATGTAATAAAGAAGCTTTATCATAAGAAGGGCAAGGGTTGAAACATCTCTTTAAATAGCAAACACTAGCATGTAACAACTTGGTCTAGAACTACACATGTATACCATACTATAATGTCCACTGTCCTAAATTTGACATAGGTAAAAACTTACCACGGAGGAAAGTTTAATGAAGGTATTATGAGTATCAAAGCCAAGTTTTAAACTAATTTATCCCATAGTAAACACTACCAAATAAGTTTTCAGTTTGTCTCACTTCTGAGTTTAGAACTTAGCACCATAGAGAGAATTTCCAGACTCCCCTACCAATAGTTTTCCATTTTATTTCCTTCTTTGTAAAATTGTAACAATAAATATGCTACTTACCAATGTCAACATGAGGGTCAATTGTATCTCAGCAGTTTCTATTGTTAAATCAAAACACTCTTTAAATGTACCTCAATGAGCATAAGACCACACTGAATATCATCTATTAAAAAAGACTCAGATACAATTAAATTATATCTAGAAAACTTAAATTATTTCCAATGATCAGTGATGAATAATTCTCCAAGATGCTAGTGTATTATGCAAAAGTTTTCAGTACCTTTTGATGTGTGAGGTGTCTCTTTAGACTTCACCAGCTAAGTTTGTATCATCCATAAGGCTTTTCAACATTTTGACAGAATTTCAGATTTTCCGATGAGGCATGCTCAACATACCCACTGAATATATTAGAAGATGAGAACACATTTCCAGAATGGATGGGATTAAAAAAAAAAATCATATATGAAGAAACTTGAAAGCTTTAGACACAATACTTACTCTTTAAAACATGAAGTTTCCCTATCTCCTAAAAACAATTTTAAGTGTTGAAATATGTAATTTATTGAAGTTCCACAAATTCAGGAACTCATATTTAACTCAAACATTGCTCAACATTAAAAAAATGGCATCTACCACATACTCCAAAAACACTTATTTACACTTAATTCCTGGAGGATGAGAATCGATATTCCAAGACGGAAGTTCTGTGATTCATGGGATCCCTACAGAGACACCACAGCTTTCTTTCCTATGCTATTTGTACCATTCTTAAGTTTCTTGTTTAAGTTTTCAAAAATTGTAAGGATCCTCTCAAGACTTTCTTTTCTTTTCTGTTTGAACACAATGAAAATAAAAATAGGTCCAGAAAATGTGGATCATTCCTCTAATCCCATAACTCAATATACTGGGACAGTAGGGTAGTCACATAGTTAGACCCTGTCCCCAAGAAAGACAAAGAAAAAGTAGACATTACATGTACATGTATAATGAACTTCAAAGATATATGAGCTCTAGAATAAAGTGATTATATGAGAATCAGGTGGGTCTCTGAGGATTTGGGCCAGCCTAGTCTACAATATCAAGATCCATTCCAGCCAGTTCTATACTAAAAACCAAATTCTAAATTAAAAAAAAAAAAAAAAAGATTATTTTTTGGTATGTCTCATTTCTGTTGTAAAGAATTATGAAGTAATGGAGTTTTGGTATCTGTTATATTCCAGGAGAAGACGGATACATGGTGGAAGTGAATTACAAAGTGAGGTGTAATTTAACAAATGACTAAGTTTGAAAAATGACTAATAAACTACTTGCAAACAGAAGTAATCAACAAGGATACACATGAAAAGGAAACAAAAGCCAACAAGCACTTATGAGTCCACTTAAGAAGGAAAATAAAAACGTTTAAAAATTACAAAAATATAAGCAGCTAAACCACCACCGGGCCCAAGTGTACAGCTCCTTTCCCAGGACAGGAAAACATGTCCAAGATCTCCAGCCCAACCCTCAAACAGAGACATGTTTTTGACTCAGGTACCCTACATAATAATGAACCTGAAGATGACTTGCTACAAATGGCTAGGAAGCCATTCAGGACATTTCCACTGGTCTTTCTTTCAACATGCCACAATGACAATCAATGGATTATGAGATTACTAGGGATATTGAGACCCTGGGAGGACATACAGAGAGAGTTCAACATTTATCAGCTGTACTCAAAGCAGACACCATTGCCTATACCCGTAAAGTTACCGAGTTTAAAAAATGCTCTTTATTTGGTGTGACTGGTAGGATATTTAGACTTGACTATCCTTGCTTCCCACATGGAACTTATTCCACTGGATAAAGGCAAGCACTTGGCATTTTGCATACATCGTGTTGGTTATTTTAGCATATAATTCCTTTGAGGAAGAATAATGATAACAAGCACCAGAGACTATTATCACACCAGAAGGAACAAACCGACTATGCATGATTCTGGCACATACATCTGTGCAAACTGACCGAAGAAACTTCTTCAGGAAATGTTCCATCTCCATGATGACACCTCAGGCCTGGAATACTGTATTCCAGATTCTTGGTTCATTCAGCCCCATGAGGTCATTGCCGTTTCTGCCAAAACACAGGGTCTATAGACATTGATCATACATGAGGGATGCATGGCTCCAGAGACTCAACAGACTTCCTGATGCTTTATTTATCATTTGCTTTTTTCCAAAATGTTAACATACAGAAACCTGAGAAACAACAATGGAAGCTAATTATGAAGATTACTGGACTCTTTGTTTTGTTTTGTTTTGTTTTGTTTTTCATTAATAAAAGAAGAAATACCTCTCCCATGGCCATGAAGCACATTCTCCCACTTGACACTGATCAGGTTTGGGTGATGCCATACAATGATTGGCTTAGCTCAAAGTTCAACAGCTCCAACCCTACTATGACCCCACTTGCAACATTTTGTTTGAAAGTGATTGCATTTCCTTTTATTTCTGAATGTGTTTTCAACTTGGTGCATACCAAACCTGGAGAAAATATAAATTTGGGAAAATATGTATATGCCACAGGGATCACAACAATTTCCTGTGATCTATACTATTTCAACCATTTTGCTTAATAACTGTATATTCTAGTGCCTAAGATTTATTTTCCTGCATTTATTTGCCTATGAGTAATTTGAGTATATAATGTATATTTTCCTTTCCTTTTGTGGTCTGAATTTGAAAATTGCTGTGAAATTGTTAATAATTCCTATATGTGGTCCCCATCACTGTGTATGCCTCAAAGGACTAGGTGATGGAATGTAATAAACATGGGGAGAAGGCTTTTGATTTTGCTTTTTATTTTATTAAAAGTTTTTTATTTATTTTACATACTGACCACAGTTTCCCCTCTCTCTTCTCCTCCTGTTCTCTCCTCCCACCTCCCATCTATCCCCCATCCACTCCTCCTCCATCTCCATTCAGAAAAAGGCAGGCCTCCCATGGGAGTCAACACAGAATGGTACATCAAGTTAAGGTAAGACCAAGCTCCTCCCCCTGCATCAAGGCTGGACAAGGCAACCTAGGATGGGGAATAGGTTCCAAAAAACCCAGCTCAAGTGCCAGGGAAATGTCCTGATCTCACTGCTAGGAGCCCTACAAATACACCAAGCTATGCAGCTATCACACACATGCAGAGAGAGGGCCCAGACCATGCAGGTTCCCTAGCAGTAAGTTCAGAGTCTGAGTTCCCATGAGCCCAGGACAGCTGTCTCTGTGGGTTCCCCTATCATGACCTTGATCCCCCTGGCTCCTCTTCCCTATCTTCAACAGGACTCCCAGAGCTCCACCCAGTGCTTGGCCATGGATCTCTGCATCTGCTTCTATCAGTTACTGGATGAATGCTCTCTGATGACAATTAGGGTTGTCACCAATCTGATTATAGGAGATGGCCAGTTCAGGCACCCTCTCCACTATTGCTAGGAGTCTTAGCTGGGGTCATCCTTGTAGATTCCTGTGAATTTTCCTGGCACCAGGTTCCTCCCTGGTCACAAAATGCCGCCCCCTCATCAAGATATCTCCTTCTATCCACCCCCAACTTGCTCAACATGATCCCTCATTTTCCCACTCCCCCATTACCCTCAGCACCCCCAGTTTATGCAGGAGATCTCTTCTACTATACCCAGCAAAACTTTCAATCACCACAGATGCAGAAAACAAGATATTTCATGACAAAACAAGATTTAAACAATACCTATCAACAAATCCAGCCCTACAGAAAGTATTAGAAAGAAAACTCCAACCCAAGAAAGTTAGTTGCACCCATGAAAACACGAGCAATAGATAATCCCAAACCAGGAAACCCAAAGAAAGAAAATATACACACACACAAAAACACCACCACCACCACCACCACCACCACCACCACCACCACTACCACCACCAAAACCAAAAAATAACAAGAATTAACAATCACTGGGCATTAATATTTCTTAATATCAATAGACTCAATTTGCCAATAAAAAGACACAGATTAACAGAACAGATACAAAAATAGGATCCATCCTTTTGCTGCATATAAGAAACACACCTCAACAGCAAAGACAGACATTACCTCAGAGTAAAGAGTTGGGAAAAGATTTTCAATCAAATGGACCTAAGAAGCAAGCCAGTGTAGCTATCCTAATAGCTAACAAAATAGACTTCAAACTAAAATTAATCAAAAGAGATGGAGAAGGATATTTCATATCCATCAAAGGAAAAATCCATCTAGATGAAGTGTAAATTCTCAACATCTATGCCCAAATACAAGGGCACCCAACATTTCTAAAAGAAACATTACTAAAACTTAATCACATATCAAACCCCACACATTAACAGTGGAAAACTTCAACACCCTACTCTCACAAATGGACAAATCTGCCAGACAGAAACTTAATACAGAAACAAAGAACTAACAGATATTATGACTCAAATGGACTTAATAGACATCTACAGAACATTTCACACAGATATCAAAGAATATACCTTCTTCTTAGCACCTCATGGAACCTTCTCTAAAATTGACCACATACTCAGTCACAAAGCAAATCTCAACAGATACAAAAGAATTAGAATAACCCCCTGTATGTTATCAGATCATCATGGGTAAAAGTTAAAGTTCAACAACAACACAAACTACAGAAAGCCTAAAAACTCATGGAAACTGAACAACTCTCAACTGAATTACCACTAGGTCAAGGAAAAAAAATAAAGAGAAAAAATTAAAGATTTCTAGAATTCAATGAAGGGTCTATGGGAGGGCTTGGAGGCAGGAAAGAGTGGAAATGATGAAATTATAATCCCCAAAAATTATGTTAAAAAGTTGAAACAGGCTTTATGGCCTTGTCCTCCAGAGACTAGAGATTTGTATTAGAGCACACCAAATGCCCATGCCATTCTCTGGGGCTGTAGATCTTAAACCTGGAAAACACAGTCATATTAGGCAGGGTGACAACATTTTAGCCAGTTCTTCTATTTAGGTTGAACTGGTGAAACTACAGTAATTTGGTTTCATGACAAGTTCAGTTCTTTATCCAGATTCTTGATTTCCCCGGTCTGTGGACCCAAGCAATGGCCAGCCAGGATATTTATGGAACATCTAACACTGATTACCTCACTACTCATTGCTAATATCAACTACTGGCAAAGCACAAAAGTTTCCACTCTCCTTCTTGCCCATCCCTTTCTGTGCTGTGACTACACCTGTTTTATAGTTGGTCAGTTACACAGGTCTCATTTCATTTGTAAATTCACAATAAAATCTAGAGAAGTTGAAGGGTACTCATTCACTGGTCTGTTTTTCCTTCCCACAGACCAGTCAAGGCCCAGCCTGGAAGGAGTTGCAGAACTATCTTTCCAGCACTGGGCAGCAGAGGCAGGATTAGGTTTTCAAAGCAATTCTCAATTACATAGTGTGAGGTAAGCCTGAGCTACAGGAAACATTGATCTAAACCAGTGGTTCTCATCCTTCCTAATGCAGTGACTCTTTAATACAGTTCCTCATGATGTGGTGACCCTCCCCCCCACACACACATACACACATACCATGAAACTATTTTGACTGCTACTTCACAACTATAATTTTGCTGTTATGAATTGTAATAGAAATATCCGTGGTTTCCTATGATCTTAGACTTGTCCTGTGATAGGGTCATTTGATCCCCCAAAGGTAGCTGTGACCCCCAAGTTGAGAACCACTGCTCTAAATTGATATAAATCAATAAACAGCACTTAAGGAAAAAAATGGAATAAAATTCTTAAACTGGGAAACACTGGAAAATAGAAACAAAAAGAGACTAGGGCAGTAATGCATTTAAAGAAAATGAAATTTAAACAATGATACCAATAATTGACTTTTTCAAATGACAAAAAAATAATTGGAAGAACACTTAGCTGTATAGACTTTGAAACGGAGTAGGCACTTCCTTGGTATGAGAATGCCATTAATAAGAGACTGTACGACTTTGTCCCATGTAAAACGTTAGCCACTGAGTGCTGTAAGCTGACACATGGAGCAATGGCCTGTGTCTCAAACCTCTCAACTGACTTAACTGTGTCAACAAGATTGCACATACCTGCATAGGAGAGTTTGCTAATTGGAAACTGAATACCTAGTAGTTCAAGCTATCCTCCCTATACTGTACACCCACCAATTCCATCTGTCTTCATTCACATGGAAGGAATTAATGCATGATGGAAAATTACACAGAAAGTCACTCACAGTGCCCCCATCAGGTCCTCCTTTGTAATGGAGACCCCTGCAACTCACTGCCTTAACCTCCAGTCTGTGATCTAGCTATTGTCTAGTCTGTTTCTCCCTGCAGTGTACCCAGCACGATGTTCCTTATCTGGTCTGAAAGGAGAAGCCATGCTCTGCACACAAATCCTTTTCCTGTTACCTCAAAGTACAGCCCACTATGTGATGCAAACTGATAACTTTAGAACTCTTTAGTGCTACAGACCTGTAGTCCAAGAATTTAGGATGGCTAGTCAGAAGAAGAGCAAGGGCAATGACCTGTGGGGCTCCAGACAGTGTTTAAGAACACCTCAATCGACATCGCAGACCTTGACTCAAAACCACTGCGCAAAAAGGCTGGAGATGCAGCTGTTCTGGAACTAATATGCCTTCATGGCAGACTACTGTTTGAATCTTAAATGGTCTTTTAATAAAAAAAAAATAAAATAAAATAAAATAAATTAAAAAAAAAAAAAACCCAGAGCCGGATATTAGAGTGAAAGCTGAAAGATCAGAGAAGCAAAACACTAGTTCTTACCTCTATGAAATCCTCAGCCTAAAGAGAGTGAGGTCCTGTTTTCTCACTCCTTAAATACCTTTCTCTGCCCTGCCATATTACTTCCTGGGATTAAAGGCAAGTGTGCTTCCCAAGCAAAAGCATGAGATCTCGAGTGCTGGGATTAAAGGTGTGTGCCACCACACCTGGCTCTGTTTCTCTCTGATACTGGATCAATCTCATGTAGCCCAGTGTAGCCTTGAACTCACAGAGATCCAGAGAGATCTCTGCCTCCCGAGTGCTAGGATTGTATGCCACCACTGCCTGACCTCTATGTCTCATCTAGTGGCTGGCTCTGTCCTCTGAGCCTCAGGTAAGTTTATTAGGGTACACATATATCACCACAGCAGGCCAGGACTTAATATTGGTTGTGACCCTGTAATTGCCCCTTGAGCAGCATGACAGAGACCTTTGATGGGGAGGTGGGCCTTTTGGCTGGTTGTAATCAAGGTTGTCTCATTTGTTATGGGAATGTAACTTAATGGCTGATTAATCCTGGTGAACAAACATTTACATCTTATCATACCAATCTCCAACAGGCATGATTAGCATATTACTTATCTTTGGGGTATTTGGGATGCAGCCCTCTCTTACCTAAATCCTACATTGTGTGACTTAATGTCTCATAAGAATTGATAAATCCTTATACCATCAATTCTACTCTTCTATATCACAGTTTAGTAGTGGCGTGCTACTTCACACAGGAAATACTGTTTACGACCTCCACAGAATTAACTCCAGATGGATCCTCAACCTAAACGTTAAATGTTCAAACTGCAGAACTTCTGGAAGATGCTAGAGAGACCAGTACTCTCCAAGTCTGGCAAATTTGGTGATGTTTCTCCACCTGTGGCAATATATGCACTACAGACACCAGCATTTCACAGTGATGTCAACAACAAGGATATTTCTAAGTACAGTTCTGCTCTCAATGCTCTGCGCAGACACAGTCCAGGGAGTGAAGTTGTTCAGTGGCTGTCGGCCTGGCCGAGGGAGTTGCAGGGATCACACAGGACCATGCTGGACTGGGCAGGACCAGACTGCAACAAGCCTGAAC